GCTATTCCCTTTACTAGACTGGATGGCCTTAAGTCACTTACCTTGCTGATCCTCAGCTTTTCATCTATAAGATGAGATTGACAGTATCTGGATCAAGGATATACACTGGTTTTGTTCACTAAAATCCTGTGCAAACATGAGATGTTGTAGTAGAAAGGGGAAGGGGTGAGGACCAAGGAGAGGCTGTCATTGACTCAGGGTGACACGTTCTCTCACCTTGGCAAGCAGTACCCAAGGCATCTCTATGAATAGGCTCTATGGAGTCAAACAGACTTGGGTTCCAGTTCTGGCTTTGCTGTATTAACCAATAACTTGGTCTCTCTCAGTCTTCCTTCCCCTATTTAAAATACCTCCTCACAGGGCTCTTGTGAGGATTAAATATGGTGGGGAATGTAAAGTCTGACACTGGTAATTAGAGGCTCTTCTTACCTTGATGGTGGGGGGGGGCGGGGGGTGTCTCATTTACCCAGAGTTCAGGGTTGGTCGTACCTTTTAGGGTTTTTCTACCTGTACAAAGCCCTGTCACTTTACCACATGTTCAGGCTTGGCTCTTGGCTTCTAAAACAGTTTCCATCTGAAGTGTTTCAACTGGGAAAAACTTTGCCAAATTTCCTCCGTTCTTACTACCTTGGAGAAGTGAGCCCATCCCTTCCAGCTGTAAATTGCATTTCAAAGCCTGCGTCTCTGGTGGGTTTTAATTAGCTTAAAGGCCCAGCTTTTATGCAGCAGTTGTTCCTCTAGCAGGTAAAGGTGAAGACACTTGGGAGCCAGTCCCTAGTTTTCCTTAAAAAATAGCATATCTGGATTGCCCCCTCCCAGCTCCTCACTGTCTGAGGGTTGTCTCTCACCGGCCCAAAAGGAAAAGTGGGATATAAGAATCCTAGACTTAGAGGACCCATGGGGTTCTTGGCCCTGCTCCTCATGGGGTGGGTCATTGTGGTCAAGTCCATTCCCCTGTGTTACTCAGAGCGAGGGGCTTGTTCACTGAAGTCCCTGCTAATCTGACACTGCAGAAATCTCTGGAAATAAGTCTGGTTCTTTCTTCCTCTCTCCACCACCATCTACCCACCTCTCCTTGGCTCATTGCTAAGCATGGGGCCTCTAGGGGCTGCAGACACCTTGCTCTCAATTACACAGCTAATCTGTGAGGCAGAGCTTGGCCCAGGGGGAAATAGCTTATCAAGTCAAGCAGCTTCTGCTGAATAGGATGTCAATATTTTCTAGGGCTCCTACTCTAAGCTAGGGGGAAGCCTGGAAAAACCAAGAAAGAATTGTGTGAGGAAGATTGAATTGGGGTTGGTTGGTCTGTCGGGGGAAGGGGGGTGTTTGGGTCAGAGACTCTAGTCTTTTAATGAGATGCCTGGGACCTCAGCCCCCAGTGGTGCGTGCACACCCCCCACCACCCCCTCTTAAGGTAGGGCTATGCTCCTGGGACATTATTCTTACTGTTTCCTCCCTAATATTTATTGGCCACTTACTGTGTCCCAGGCTTCGTCAGGCTTGCCTCTAACATTTGCAGGGCTGAACAAAGAGTACAGATGGAGACTTTACATACTATAAGTCTAAATATTTGAAGGTTATAAGTGAAGCTAACAAATTTTAAGGTTCGTAACAACCTGGAAGACCATGTCTGAATTTAGAAATCTTGACTCTTTGGGATTCTGTACCTGAACCTAGCAGTTCCAGAAGAGCTAGTCTGGGCACACTTTTCATTTCCTACCCCCAACTTGATCCCTCACTTTCAGGAGTCTCATAAACATGTTTAAACACGGAAGCTTTTCTATATCTCCACAGATAGCTTTCCCTTTGGGTTTAGGGAGTATGCACAAGAGCAGCACAGACTGCCCTTGGAGACTGCCATTGAAAGCAGATTAGGGCTGATTAGATAGGGAGTATAAGGCGGGGTTGGTGCCTGGAGCGGCTTCAGGTGGACCTTTCTTGTGGCCTTGCGGATGGCCACCCAGAATGGCCACAGGCATACATTTTCCCTGGTCTCTTCTCTGTTGTAGCCTTTTTGTGACATGGCTTCTGGCTGCCTTTTCTTGGCATTGTTCAGAAGGTGCTCCAGTCTGACTTTGACCGTCATTTAGAATGAGCCTCATCGATGGCAGTTTTACTAGAACAGAGAAGTTCAACTATGGATTTGTTGAACTTCTGGGAGTGGGCCAGGAAGTGTAAGTACCAGTACTTAATGTTAGGCCTTTCCTGTCCTTCTGGAGCGGTCCTCTGATGTAACCTGTTCAGGGTCAGGGGTAGGAGATATTTGTACAGTCCCTTGAGGTAAAAGACATCCTACAATTATATGCAAATTTCTTTTTTTTTTTTTAAAGATTTTATTTATTTATTTGAGAGAGAGAGAGCGTGAGAGACAGAGAGCACGAGAGGGAAGAGGGTCAGAGGGAGAAGCAGACCCCTTGCTGAGCAGAGAGCCCGATGCGGGACTCGATCCCGGGACTCCAGGATCATGACCTGAGCCGAAGGCAGTCGTTTAACCAACTGAGCCACCCAGGCGCCCCTATATGCAAATTTCTTAAGAAATTCGCAAAGTCCTTTTTATGTACATTGTCCCAGACCCCAAGTGACAAGAGAAAAGACTGAGTATGGCCAAACTTGAAGCTACTCACCAGCTGAGGAGTGAGCGCTGACCCTGCTGTATCACTAAACACAGGTGTTAGCAAATGCTTCCTGCTCAGTTGGTGGTAGAGGCTCCTGCCAGAGGTCTGAGGGAACCCAGCACCTGTCATGTCCCTGCCAGGTCAGTGGCAGAGATAGTAGTCATCAACAGGTCTAAACCATCATCCCCCTGTCTTTCTCTCTTGGTCTACACCCCAGGCCAGTGGTTGGTTCCCTCCAGCCAAAGTAGGTGGCCCTTCCCTGAGCAAAAGCTTCATGGCTCTGAGCTGAACCAACCAGGAGAGTTATCTGATGGCCATGGAGGAGCCCCACAAACTTATTTCTTATATCCATGGATGGATAAGAAATTAACTTTTGAATGGCTTGTCATCCAGGTAGGAGAGGGATTATCAGAGAGGACTGTGAGGAATGGGGGGCCCTGGGGAACCCACATACATTGAGCATTTTTTACTGCACATGGACAGTATTAAGTGTTTTCATGGGTGATATCTTTTGTGTTCCTCACTGCTTAATAAATGATGATTGGATGCAAAAGTAAACTGAGTAACAAAAAAGAGTCTGTCCCTTCCAGACCCTTTCCAGAGCTGGCACCAGTCCCTTCATCAATAGCAGTGCCTTCTTAGCCCCTGTCTTTTACCTCGGATGGCGCACACTTGACCCCAGTATATCCATGGAGCTACTGCAAGCCCACCATAGGAGTAGGTTTCTTCCTCAGAATTATTCTCAGGGCCAGCCTATGGTTTCCTTGCAGTCCGTGCCATCTGCTGGTCAGAACATGCCAGCTTCCAGGCTGGAAGGATTGAAGAAGAAAAGCGTCTCTTATGCTAGTGGAACAAAAGATAAGGCTTTTCCAGTTTATACTCTGCACTGCTCTAATTCTCTGACAAGAAGCTCCCTCTACCCTCAGATACTAGGTTAGTAGGCAGGTGTTTACCGTTAGCCTAGGCTGATGAGAATTTTTATACATACTACTTGGGGTCTTTAGCACCTTCTCTAGTAGCTCTCAGCAGGGGTATTGAAATAGGAGTGTTCTAAAAAGGAGTTGTACAAATCCATGCCAGTGAGCAGAAGGCTGGGCCAGGAAGTGTAAGTACCAGTACTTAATGTTAGGCCTTTCCTACTGTCATCAAGCGTCCTTTTCTGTTCCTTCTGGAGCTGTCCTCTGATGTAACCTGTCCAGGGTCATGGGTAGGAGACATTTGTACAGTCCCTTGGGGTAAAAGACATTGCCAGAGTGTGGAGAGCAAAGAGTAGGTACAATATGATCTCTAAGCAAACAAATTTGAATGAGTCAGTATTAAAAGTGGTACTAACTCAAAAAATTAATTTATTAAAAATTCTCAGGTAAATATGTTTACTTAACTGTAGTTTTTAAATTGGCTTTAGCTCTGGGAAGGAAAGTGATAGAGCTGGGGGGCGGGGTGGAAAAAGGGCTGTAGGGACTAGCTGACGTGGGTTTGAGTGCTCATTCCTGGCAAGTTAAAAAACATTTGGGGGCTGTTTTTTGGTAAAATATGAACAATAGTAATACTATTTATAGGATCTTGTGATTACTCAATATTACATGCCACCCTTAGCCTACAGTGAGTGCTCAGTGAGGCTTGTTTAGCTCACCTTTTTAAAAATGGTTGGTACCGGGGCACCTGGGTGGCTCAGTCGGTTGAGCGTCTGCCTTCAGCTCAGGTCATGATCCCAGGGTCCTGGGATCAAGTCCCACATCAGGGTCCCTGCTCAGCAGGGAGCCTGCTTCTCCCTCTCCCTCTGTCTGCCGCTCCCCCTGCTTATGCGCTCTCTCTGTCAAATAAATAAATAAAAATCTTTAAAAATAAAAAAAAATAAAAATGATTGTACCAGTAAAGACAGCCAAAGCTAGGTCAATGTCTGGATCAGACTGAGCAGTTTTCATAATGTGGTAGAGCAGATATTACTTGGGAATTTCCATGTGACTTCTTTGCCATGGTTCTACATTAAAGGAGCAGAAGAAAAATGATGGAAGATCTTCAAATTTAGATCCTGCATGGGGTAACTTATTTCACATAAGCATTAAAGAAGAATTAGACTCAAGCAGACCAGGGTTCAAATCTTAGCCCTGTCGCTCATTAGCATCATGACCTCTGAATGTGCATTTTCTCCCTTGTGAAATGGCCTGGTTCTACTTGTCATGTAGGTACCAAATGAGGGAACATATATAAAGCACCTGGCCATGAGGTCAGCAATCCAGTAAGCTATAAAAAGGGGAGGCTGGATGCTGTAGAGATGTATGTATAGCAGGGCAGAAAGCCATCCAGGTTAGCCATGATGTGGGCCATGGGTAGCCCTTGAGCCCAACTGGGGGACCCAGCTTCATAGTGGCTTTCTCTCTGCAGGTGGCCATCATGTCCTTGAAGATCCAGACAAGCAATGTAACCAACAAGAATGACCCCAAGTCTATCAATTCTCGGGTCTTCATTGGAAACCTCAACACAGCTGTGGTGAAGAAGTCGGATGTGGAGACCATCTTCTCCAAGTATGGCCGCGTGGCCGGCTGTTCTGTGCACAAAGGCTATGCCTTTGTCCAGTACGCCAATGAGCGCCACGCCCGGGCAGCTGTGCTGGGAGAGAATGGGCGGGTGCTGGCCGGGCAGACCCTGGGTAAGCGTCTCTCCTTGGCCCTGCTCCTCGTACTCTCCTGAGCGGGTTCCAACCTTCACTTTCTGGCTTCTCTCTTAGCCCCCTTTCTGTTTCCCTTGCTACTACCCACCACCCCTATCTGAAATGTTAATCACTATTAAGTAGTTATAAAATTTGCCTGTAGGGAGTATTTTAGGAGCTTCTCAAAATTGCTTCTGTCTTGTCTTTGCTTTCATGGTGACTCTTAATGACAGGCTTTATGGTTCCAGTTAAAATGCAGATTCCTAAGAGAAAAGGAACAGTGGACTAGCATAGCCTAGAACATTGGGCTATGGATGGTTTAGGTTAGAACTCTTTATGAGAGCCAGGAAGAGGGGCTGGGAGCACAAGGTGAAGCAGGTGCCTTTGGCCATGGTGCTGTATATATATGATGTGACCATGTGGCAGTCTACCTTGGAGTGTGTACAATGCACCTACTTCTGTGTATATGTATGTTCAGGAAGGGATATCTATGTGAAATGTGGATGTAACTAAGCATGTGGAGAACATGCGGACACATCTTTAGTACATATATATGAAAAATGTGTGTCAGAATATGCTAGTGTGTGTAAGCAGATATGCATATTTATTTACAAAATATTAATTGAGATCCTGTCACATGCTAAGCATCATTCTAGGTATAAAGATGTTTGGTAGAACATTTGTTTGAATGTGCAGTGGCTCATCTGTATGCGGGCAGTTCTGTATATGGACATCGGCGTCAAGTACTTGGGAGTATATGTGTTATTTTTGTGTGTGACTTGATTACCTGGATACGTGAACATGTGTGTGAAGATACGTATTTGAAGTATTTACGTACGTGAGTGTACTTGAGAATGCATGTAGGTGATGTCCATGGCATGTGTGTGTGAGTGATATGTCTATGAACATGCATGCAGGTGTCTGAATGTACATGGATTTGTACATAGGCCTGTCTCTGTGATGTGTGGGTATGAGTCGAATGTGTGGAGACCTCTGTTGGTTAAGTTAGGACAGTCCATGTGTACCTCACGTAAGCAGGTAGAAGTCGCTGCTCACGTGCATGAGGGTGATGTGTGTTTGGGTACCCTGCTGTGCTACCAGCGTCTGACTGTGCCTCCTCCCTCCACACAGATATCAACATGGCTGGAGAGCCCAAGCCCAACAGACCTAAGGGGCTAAAGAGAGCAGCATCTGCCATATACAGGTGGGGCGCTCTGTCTTGTCTGTCTCTCTCCATCTGGGTGGGATTGGTTCCTCTTTGCACAGAGGGAGAGAACACTGGTTGGTGACAGTGTGCCGAGCCTAGAATCTGGGGAGGCGTTTGGAGATGAGGGCCTGTGGAGAGTGGGCTGAGTGGCTGTCCCTAAGCCCCGGCCCTCTCCCCTTTGTTTCCCCAGTGGCTACAGCTTTGACTATGATTACTACCGGGACGACTTCTACGACAGGTGAGCAGGGGAGGGGCGTGCCCAGGCATGAAACAGCCAAGCTGGAAGGGTCCTGAGAGATTGCTGGTGCAGCCCACTCAGTCCTCCAAGTGGGAACCAGAGCCCAAAGGTGTGGACAGGCATCTGCCCAAGGCTGCTCCACAGATGGGTGGCAGAGCTGGAACTAGGGTCTAGTTCTGCAGGTGCCCAGGTCAGAGCTTCCCCCAACCCACACTGTCTCCTGCTCTCTGACTGCCCTTCCTCATCCTAGGGTGGGACTCAACGGGACTAGTCAGCAAGGGATGTATAAACATAGTAAGTTGGATTACAGAACAGGTTACAGGAGTAGGTACAGGGAGTTTGAGCCCTCACGCTCCTGCTGTTCAGTCTCCTTTCCTATTGGAGGTGCTCAGCCAGGTGGAAGGGACCTCAGAGCTCAGTATGAGCCCCTTGGCCTTTCATTTATAGCCGAGGCCAGCGGTCCTTTGGAGGTCTGAATTAGTCCCTGCTAGGCTATGGCCCACCCTTCATCAGACCCCAGCCTTGAGCTGTGGGCTCCATTCCATGGCACCAGCCACATTCTTGAGTGGAAATCATGATGGGACTGTTCCAACACCCCCACCCCCCACCCCCAGCCTGTGGGAAAGAGGAACAGAACCTCTCTGAGCCTCGGTTATCTCACCTCTGAATGGTTTCAGGAGACAGTGTGGCGTAGTGGAATGTGCCCTAGCCTGGGAGTCAGAAGACCTGGGTGCTAATCCCAGCTCTGCCACTGAGTGGATTGTGTGACTTTGGGCAGATCCCCTCCCAGTCTCTGAAATGGGCTTGCGCCAAGTGATCCCTCAAGGCCCCTCCAGCTCTGGGATTCTGTGGTTCAGTGATTCTGACCAAGGCCAGAGCCACCCCCTCCCCTTAGGGGCAGAAATGCAGGGTCTGGGACTGGATCCATTCCCAGAGACTCTCCATCTCCAACCATCACCACCCCAGGGCAGGGGCTCTCTGAACAAAGGAGTGCCAAGCCATGGGGCATTGAACTGCCCAGTGATGGCATGTTTCCTGGCTGTCACCAAAGTGAGCCCATAGTGTCCCCCTAAGGCTCTGTTCCCTGCGGAAAGGTAGTAGTAGCAGATGGGGTGTGAGAGACCCCTACTCAGCCTACAAGCTTCTGCCTAATAAGCTTCTGCCTAATGAGCAGGAAAAGAAGCCCTCTTGGAGAGGGCTGCGTGTTGACATTGGGGCCAGTACATAAACTGGGAGCCCAGGGTTCTGATTGAGCTGCCTAACCTTGATACGCTGCTGATCTCTTCCCCTCCATCTCTGAAGTGGACTAAGAGGGCTGGGATGATTAAAGGGGGCCCAGCCCCTGAAATCATAGGCTCCGGGTTTGAGAGTCTCAGTATCCTATCACACCTTTTAACACGTGTGTTTTTAACCAAGTTTTTTCATTCTCTGCCCTCACAGCAGCCTTGGGGTGGGGTAGGGGGTTGGCACAGAATTGGGGTAGTCGTCATCATGAAGCAGATAGGAAAACTGAGGCTCAGGCAGACAGGGATTCCAATCCATTCCCACATCTTTCTGTTCCCAGCTGGCGATTTGCGTTGCTTTAGGGACATTGGCAAACTGACCAGTGGTTGGGGTGGCAGTTGACTGAGCAGAAGCCAGGTCAGGTAATACAGCAGATCTAGGGAAGGCTAGAGGGCTGGTCTCCGTTTGCTCCTTTCTTGAACTGGGGCTATAACCATTACCACCTGCCTTACCCAACCTGGCTGGTAGGAAAGGTGGATGGAATGAGAGTCCCAGAAGCTTTTAAGGTCGGAAAAGCCATTTCTCTTCACCCCCAGGGCTTGTTGGGAGCAGGCAGAGGTGTGTAGTACAGGCTGCCCACCAGCCACATGTTGGTCTAGAGTCACAGTGCCCTCTGGTGGCCACAGGCCATGCTGCAGCCTCTGGCCCATTTGCCCCTACAGGCTCTTCGACTATCGGGGCCGCCTGTCACCTGTGCCAGTGCCCAGGGCAGTCCCTGTGAAGCGACCCCGGGTCACGGTGCCCTTGGTCCGGCGCGTCAAAACCACCATACCTGTCAAGCTCTTTGCCCGCTCCACGGCCATTCCCGCCGGCTCAGCCAAGATCAAGTGTGAGTGACTAGATCTTCCTAGATCATTTTTATTTTTTTCATTAGCAAACTAAGAGAATCACATATTTCTACATTGGAAAATAGATGAAGGAGCAAATCTCCCACAGTTCTGCAGCTCTAACACTACCAAGTGAGTATTTTTATTCATTTCTAAGAGGAAAAGGCTAACCTTTGAGGAGGAGGGGCTTGGGTCGGACACAGAAATGTCCAGTGCTGTGACATGGAACCCAGGGAGGAGGAGGTGTCATTTTTCCTGTAGTAAGGACAAGGCTGCCCAGGCCCACTACTCCACATGCTCTCTGGTGTACACATGCTGCAGTCAGGCACCCAGGAAATCTGATGGTCAAACACCCACGTTTATACACCTGCAATCAGGGCATCATCCTATAACACGAGGAGAAACACATACGCTTGCTCAGGTGCACACCGCACCTGCATTTTTATCCATCTCCAGTGCATTTCAGGAGTTGAACGGTCAGGGGAGAAGGTCCCAAGTTCAGAAAGGTGGGCTGGTTACTGTAGGCATGGCCTCAGAAGTCTTGGGGGGAAGCCACGGACAGCTCCAGCCTTTTTCCTGGCCAAAAAACCGCAGATGAGGACAGTTCCGGCCACTGGCCTGCCTTTGTAGTTGACAGAATGGGGCTAGGGTCTTACGTTAGTGTCAGGCTCCTAGCCCCTGGCTGACAGCCCTGTACTCCCTTCACTCCCAGTAAAGAGCAGTGAGCTGCAGGCCATCAAGACAGAGCTGACACAGATCAAGTCCAACATCGACGCTCTGCTGGGCCGCTTGGAGCAGATTGCCGAGGAGCAGAAGGCCAACCCAGGTCAGCTTCCAGGGGTCCTCACCCAGCTCAGTGAGCAGGGGCTCAGGGCAGAGTGTGGGGAGGACAGTGCGCCAGGCAGAGAGGGGCTTAGCTTCTGCTACGGTAACTGCCCTGGGCAGCCTTCTTTATTCCCTTCTTCCCGCTCCTTTCCCCTCAAGATGGCAAGAAGAAGGGCGACAGCAGCAGTGGCAGTGGTGGGGGCAGTAGTGGTGGCAGCAGCCGGCCGCCCGCCCCCCAGGAGGACACGGCTTCTGAGGCAGGCACGCCCCAGGGCGAAGCACAGGCTCGAGACGACGGCGATGAGGAGGGGCTGCTGACACACAGTGAGGAAGAGCTGGTGAGGGCCCAGCAGGGGAGGGGGAGCCTCTGAGCTGGCTGGTGGCCCTGTGAGCTCCCTCCTTCCTCTTCCGGAAGAGCACGGGAAGGCCTATTTCAGCTGCCAGTCCGAAGTCCCACTGAGGACCGAGGTAGACCTCTCTTTGGTCCAGGGCCCATTCTAGATTCGGTTTCCACATGGGCTGGAGGAGAGAAGAGTCAGGGGCTCAGGGGAGCACACGTGGTCTGCAGAGTTCCAGGGGGCAGGACTGGGATTGCCTGGGGAAGCCACAGGGAGGTTGGGTATCCACCCTACCCAAGGACTTTCTAAAAGCCATTACTGCCGAAGTATGCAAGAGGCTGTCTCATGAGGGAGGCATGGAGGGAGTTCTCTGTTACTGGAACTCTTCAGAGTGCCAGGGGGAAGCCATTGGCAAGGAGCTTAATATTGAGTAGGAAGGTAGACCACACTCTTGAGTATGTAAGGTAACTGTTGTGTGCTTATCCATTTACCTAACAGGCACTCAGTGAGCACCAGGCCCTGTAGTTTCTAACTTCATTTAACCTTAACAACAGCCTTGCACTGTGCGAAGTATTACTCTTCCCGACTTTTACCCAGTGAGGAAACGGTGGCTCAGAGGAGTAGAGTAACTTGCTCAGGGCCTTATAACTGATAGGGGCTGAGCCAGAATTAGAGCCCAGACTTCTTCACCAGGTTTGGAACTTTCTCCTTTTCATCAAAGCTGGAGTTCTGGCCCAAGGACAGATGGGCCCATGGCCACCATACTTATGAGGTCCTCCTCCTCATGCCCCCAGCTCCTCTCTCTTTTTTTGACCCAATTACTTTCTTAGGCATAGTAGTCTCCATAAAGACCCTACCCATGCCCCAAAGATGGAGAGCTCACCAGCCTACTAGGCTTTCAGCCTGCTACAGTCTGAGAAGGTCTTTCTATTTGGGAAATGTGTCCCCTGCCAGACCTAGAACATCCTCGACTGGTCCCTTCTCTCTTCTGGAGGGCCCCCAGATCATCCTGTCAGGATTCCAAGCCAGCTGTGTTGAGACTGTTCCCATAACCATTCCCCTTGGCTGTCTATCCCTCTGTTGGAGTTTGGTCTCCGGATGTGCTCTGGGCCGCAGGGATGACTCAGAGTTGGTAGTGAGTGATGTGTGGTTTCTTGTTGCCTCCTCCCTATCAGGAGCACAGCCAGGACACAGACGTGGAGGATGGGGCCTTGCAGTAAGCAGGTACGGGGGTCCAGGTGGACGGGGTGAAGTGAAGCAGACCTGGCAGGTTCGTGCTATGCCCAGCGAGGAAGGCTCCCCCATCCTCAGCCATTCTACTGTGCTCCTTTGTGGTGAGAGCTTGGTAGGCTGTGGGAGCAGGAGCCGTGGATGGGCTAGCCAGGCCAGCCCTGCAGGGATTCCCTCGGCGCACTCCGAGCCATGTTGCCCATCTCCTCCACCCTTGAGGAGCTCTGAGTCTGATGGAAGAAGGCACAAACCATGACCAGTGTGAGCCTGATGATGGGCTGGAGAGCTGGGTGGTCAGAGAGGGGTGTGGTGGAAGAGCCGATAATACGTAGTTGAGCCTGTGGAGGGTTGAGGGAGAGGCATCTGAGGGAACAGCTTTAGCTCAGCACAGGGGGCTCTAATGGGCGTCGGTATATGGGAGATGACTAGGAGCCTCCAGTAGCGGTAGTCGCAGCCCTGCGTGGGCAGGGAGAGTTCATCATCAGCGAGGGACGGTTGTGCCGGGCTTAGGGGCTGGAACTTGATCCTGCCTGGAGGAAACTGTCCCAGCCCTGCAAGGTTGTAATGGTGCCAGCCTAGCGGATGGGGGAACTGAGGCACGGGGGGCGGAGGGGGAGAGCAGGGTGGTAGCATGTATCTCACCAGTCCCAAGGTGGTAATTGGTGGAGCCTAGGTTTGAGTCCGGTGGTGTGTGGCCTCACAGCCCAGTGTTCACCACCCTGCTCTGCCCCATTCCTTTGGGGGCCATGTTCAGGGTAAGACAGGCTTGGGTGGAAGAAGGCCTCAAAACAGCACACGTGTCTTTACATAAGACACATCCATGCTGTGAGCTGTTCTACCAGCAAGATCTTCCCAGACAGTTTAGGAAATTCTAGATCTGTAGTCTGTCTCCTCTGGGAGCTTCCTGGTTGGTTTTACCAAGGAGGCTAAGTTTGACCTTGTGAAGCCAGTTTGCAGATGAGGTGCAGGGCTCAGGTGAGGAAATGGGAGGCTTAGGGGGAGAGGGAGAGACTCACCAGAGGTTGCGTGGCCAGAAAATTAGAAGGCCAGAGCCAGAGTGCAGGCCTATGTCTGTCTGCAAATGGCAAACACCTTTCTCCCCTTTGTCTTCCCAACCCCAGTTATCAAGAGTACCAGGGGCTCTTGCTCTCAGCCTCAGTCTTTCCTTTGTCTCTCTCTTTCTCAGCCTGACAGGAACGATGGCCACCGGCAGGAGAAGGGCGTGCACTGTACCAGGCCTAAAGCTGGGCACCCGCCCCTGGAGACTACCCCCAGCGGGTCCCAGGAGAGCCGGCCGCAGGCATCTCCTCCCGCACACATCCCAGCCAGTGCTGCATCCTCTGCAGGTGGAGTTATTGGCCACCCTTCCCCTCACGCCCTCCCTGTTGGCACCGCCCAGGCCAGAGGGCAGCGCACAGAGGTTTCCCCACACTCTACCTCCCCTCCCAGGACACTCCCAGGCTTGGGGTTTTTCTATAGGTTTGGAGAGGGGAGGGTCCCAGGGAGGGTACCCTGACAATAAAGAGATTGGATCCCAACTTGCTCTGAGATGGGATGGTTTGTGTTTTCTCAGGGTCCCCGGGCCATCCTGCTGAGCCAGAGTCTGGTCTGGTCTGTTTCACTCCATTCTTTTTCCTCCCTTGCACTTTCCAGCCAGGGAGCATTGTCCAGGGTGCATAACACTGGTCTGTCTCGGCTTCCACAGCTAAAATGGGGATAAAAATGGCCAATAGGGTTGTTGGGGAGGGTCACACATCCAGGTCCCCAAGAGACTACTTTGGTGGCTACAGTGGCAAGCAGTTGTGACCCACTTTGGTTAGACAGTGGTAGGTCCAGGTCTTAGCTTCTCACTCAGTCTCGTTTTTCCCAGCTCTGAGATGATTCTAGAATCCACCTCTTCTTCTCCTTCCCTCTCCTAGTTTGGGACACTGTTTTTTTCACTCGGGCTTTATCCTCTCACCAGCCTCACAGTGTCTAGCGTCTCCCTGCCCCATTTCCCACTAGACACCACAGTGCTTTATCTGAGTCATTTCACTTCCCTGTAAAACCCTTACCTGACTGCTCACCATCAGGACAAAACCCCAACTCCTGTACACGATCCTATATGCCCTGGCCTCTCTCCCTTGTTACCACCTCTCTTTCCTGGCCCACTCAAAACAGGTCCTTCACTCTCCTAGGCGGCAAGGAATGGAGCTCCAGTCCATTTGACCTCAGGCAGTAGGAGGTTGGCATTAGAATATCTGTGCCTCCCTCTACCTGTCTTGGGCCACCTATCTAGGTGTTTGCTCTGTTCTCTGACAACTGGCGACGTTCCTTCAAATTTCCACTTCTGTCTTAACTTCACCCCACAAGTTGAGCGATTTACCTGTGTTCAAATTCCCAGGAGAAATCACCTGCCACAGCGGATCTTTTTGAGTCACTCATAGGTTAAAAGTACCTTCCCCGGTCCTGTGAACTGGGTGATAAATGTGTGGCCACCTGGGCTGGTCTCTCTGGTGTGGGGCTTTGTTCCAAAATGTAGCACGTACTCTTCTTGCTCCTACTTTCTCCACCTGAGAAATACCCACTCACCCTTAAGCTGCTGTTCTAGTGTTGGCAGCTCTGAGAAGTATCAGCTTACTGTTTTTCAGAAATTGTTCATTCTCTCCTAGGCAGCCTTCCCCAAGACAGGAAATTCGGTCCCATCATCACAAAGGGGTTTGGGCTCTCCCTCCATCTTTACGTGTTCCTCAGGGTCCCAGGCCTACTAGAATCCTTACTGAAAATCCCAGTTCACACTAGCAGTTCTCCAACATAGCCTCCATCAAACCTCCACTGGGCTTTGGCTCCAGGTTTTGGTGGAGGATAGAGGCTGGGCTTGAGACAGTGCTGAGGCTAGGTTACCCTGAGTATGGAATCACCCAGGGAAGTCTTTGTTGTTTCATGGCTCCCTCCCTGGGCAGCCCTCCTGACTGCCAGCTAGCAGTCTGAAGCCCGAGTGCAGCTCTACATTCCCAAGCTGTGCAGGGGCCTGACTAGCCAGCCCATTAGGGAGCCAGAGTTCTGGACCCACAGCTGGGCCAAATGCCCCCATCCCTGCTGGCCATTGCCTCTTGGTGTGATGTGGAGCAGTGTTTCTGCCCTTTTGGAGGTTTAGCTGCCCAGGGGGATCTCAGTCCCCATATGTGTGCCTGCCAGGGACCCTGGGCAGCAGAGGGAGAGAGGGTAGAGACTGAGGCCATCAGTCTCTGAGAGATTCAGACCCTGGGTGGAAAATAGTCGCTGGGAACTTACTCAAAACAAAAGGCTCAGTCTGGAGAGCTAAAGGTGTCCAGCGGAAGGGGCTAGGTCCACTGGGAGTGTCCCATCTCTCCTGAAGAGCCCTCAGTGGAACATACCCCTCTAGTCCCTGAACTCACAGTCTGTCCTTGCTGCTCAGAAGGCCAGAGCCCAGTTCTAGCCAACCCACTTGTGTACGTGTACAGGTCTTCATGTCCCTACCTGGTACACCACCCTGGACTGGAACTTGGGCAGAGTGCGAAGAAGGGGTTTTGGACCTTGGTGGACTTCACACTGAGGGCTGGCACCGGGTTCCTGCGTCCCAAGAGCCTAGTGCTCTGTGCCCATTGCACCGTAATAACATTTTCAGACTCTACAAGGCCCTTACTCAGTAGTGCTTGACCGAGGCACTCACTTTTCAGTGCTTGGGGGACAGGTAGAACAGGAGGGGCTGTGGGCCTCTGTAGTATGTTAGGCAGAAGAGCATGGAAGACCCCTTCCAGGGTAGGAAGCATCTGCCCTATGCAGAGGCCCTGTGTAATCACCCTGCCATCAGGATATATCCTAGACAGATTGAGAATCCCCATCCTGGCACCCCAGAAAAGCTCCTGAACTACTTAGCCCATGGGAAAGCTTGAGTGGGAAATTCACATCCACAAAAACCCTGCACAGACCTGCCCATCCTCCCCATGTCTGGGGCAGGAAAGACCTCCCCCATTCCATTGCTCATCAGTTTTTGTTAATCTGTTCAACTTCTGAAAACCAAAAGGAGATGAAGAAATGTGATCCCACATTCTGCCCAAAAGGACTAATATTCCCTAGGTGTTTTGAAGATCTGAAGCCTCATTTGTGATCCTGGCAGCTGTCTTGAAGGAATATTACAGCCAGTGGGTTTACTGGATTGTGAGCCAAGGCTTTCCTCCCTGTACTGCTGCCCAGAAGGTTTGTGACCCTGGGCAAGTCTTGTTCCTTCCTAGGTCTCTTGTTTCCTCATCTATATGAGAGGTTGGCCTAGATCAGGGATAGTAAATGGGCCTTATATCAGTTATTAACTTGTATAACAAACCCACTCCAAAATTTAGTACCTTTAATAAACATAAGCTTCTGATTGAGTGGCTTGGCAATTTGGGCTATGCTCAGCTGGGCAGTTCTACTTCTCTCATCTGGGCTTTGATGTGGCTGAAGTGAGCTGGCAGATCAGCTGGGTGCCCGTGGGTCCCAGAAAACCTCACCCACTTGTCAAGTGGTTGGCGGGGCAACTGGGCTATATGTTCCCAGCATCTAGCAGGCAAGACCAAGTAAGCCCCGGGATGCAAGTGCTCTTCAAGTTCCTGCTTGTGTCATGTTTGTCAGCTTCTATTGGCCAAAGCAAGTCACATGGCCAAGTCCGAACTCTTAATTTGAGGAGCTTCCGAACAGGGCCACGGTTTGTTTTTAATCCCTCTCAGACCTTATTTCATTTGCCATTCAGAATGTTTAGTAGCAGCTGCTGGAGTGCTTTTTGAGGATTTGGAGTTTTTAATAGTTTTTAGACTCTTAAAGAAAGAGTAACATGGTAATTTGATCATTTTTTTTATGGGTGAGGAGTTGAAAATGTGGGTATATGAGTGTCCAATATTAACCAACACTGGCCAGGTCATCTCTTGTCCCATCAGGACGTTATCTACTTTACAGTAGATACTTTACAGTTCTCACCATCTGGTGAGAACACAGAAATATAGAAGGTAGAGCGAGCAAAAGATTCTGATCAGGCATCCTGGGCTTGAATTCCAGTTGGGCCACTGATTAAACTTTGGGCAAATACAAATCCTTACAGCTGTGGCCACATAACAGTAAACCACTTCCTGAATATCTGCTGTGTAAAAGGCACATTGTATATTTAGTTTATCTCTGCAACCACCTTTTTAGGTGTATGTAATACAAACTTTTGGTTACAAGTTGTAGAAACTGAACTCGTATGTGCTTAAGCAGGAGGAAGTGTATGGTTTCGCATATTTAAAGGTCCAGGGATAATCCTTCAGACCCAGTGGGACCCAGGGGTTCAGGAGTCATCAGGCATCTTCTTCCCTATTCCTCAGCTTTGCTTCCTCCGTGGGCCTTGTTCTCAGACAGGTCCTCAGTGGTGGCAGAGCATGGCCACAGGGCCTGAGTGTGGAGGGGGAGGGGAGAATCTCCAGAAGGAAGACAGGAGTTCTGTTGCTAGAAGGGAGGTTTGGGCTGACAAAAACAACAGGTCTTCATCATATAGTTGTGCCCATTTTGTAGATTTTATAGATGTGAAGGTTCTAAAACTTGGCCCTGTGGACAGCTGGTGTCTATACCCTCTCCCCTTTATCTGGACTCTGGCTGTTCGATCAGCAGAATACGGTAATGGTGATGCTGTGCCAGTCTCACAGTTCTCAAGAACCAGCAATTTCCACTTCTGTGTCTTAAGACCCAGCTACCATGCTATGAAGAAGCCCAGAGCACATGGCAAGGCCTGACAGCCCCATGTGCCAGCTGACAGCCGGCAGCCGCTGTCAGACAGGAGTGAGGAAGCCTTCAAGATGAGTCCCGCCCAGCCACTGACCTGAGAACCCAAGTAAGAACGGCCTAGCTGACCCCAGTCAGTAATCAGTGATTGTCATCCTTTTAAGGTACCAAGTTTTGGACTGATTTGTTCTCTATCAGTAGATAACCAGAACACAAACTGAGGCTCAAAGAGGTGAAGGAGTTTGCTCTACTTTAGGGGGACTGGGTTAAGAGTATAGACTTTGTGTTGAACTGAGTTCCAATCCAGATTATTTGTTGTGTGACCTTAGGCAAGTCAGTTAACCTCTCTGAGCCTTCATCTTCCTCATCTTAAAAGCAGAAGAGAGCACATTGTTGTTATGACAATACTTAATAAATTTTGAGTTCATTTATTATTACCTAATCCAGATTCAGGTGATTTTCTCTTAAAAAATAAGACTATAATTTCTTTCCTCTTTTTTCCCCCTACTCACTTTATATTCACTTTGTTCCAAAATGTATTTCAGGCAGCTTACAAAGAGAGAGTCAATAGAGCATTATAAAATAGAATATAAAAAGAAGGCAAAGGAAAATATTAGCAAGTTTTTCCCCTATATCTGAGTTACTGCAGTCAAGAGTAGTGTGTCCATCTGGTCACTAAGCCTGTGGAGCAAGCCCAGCTGGCCCTCCTGTGTATACGAATGAATGGACTCCTGCCTCCTCTGACTGGTGAGTGGGCCCCTGGTGCACACGCTCCCCTCCCTGCACCCCTGCCTCAGTCTACCTCCTGAGGGAGCCCAGATGATGAGGGTGTCCTACAAAGGTGCAGCAGCCAAGTCTTGTTTGGGCAAGTGCATGGGTTTGGCTTTTCCAGGTGCACAAAACAGAAACTTGACAGGGTTACCCACTAACACTTTTTTTTAAGATTTTATTTGACACCAAGAGACAGAGGGAGAGGGAGAAGCAGGCTTCCCGCTGAGCAGGGAGCCCGATGTGGGGCTCGATCCTGGGACACTGGGATCATAACCCGAGCCGAAGGCAGACGCCCAACGACTGAGCCACCCAGGCGCCCCCCATTCCCACTTTCTGACCTGGACCCCATTTCTTGCCCATTCTCCAGTCCCCTCTTACCTCTAAAACCTTATCTCTAAAAACGAGTGTTTCCTCTACCCCCTGCACAGTGTCCAGTTCCCTGACCACACTGGGAGCTAAGACCAGAGACTGTCTCATTCATTCTTGCCCATAAGGGTTTTAAAAAGGGATGTGTGACTTGGTCAGTTAAATAACTGTGGAGATGCACAGTTCAATCCAGCATCTACCTTGGTGGGTTGGGGTTTTTTCTTTTTCTTTTTTTTTTTAAGTTATCTCCACACCCAACATGGGGCTCGAACTCATGACCCCGAGATCAGGAGGCACATGCTCTTCCAACTGAACCAGGCAGGTACTCCTACCTTTGTGTTCTTAATTATACGCTCCCCACCTGCAGCATTTGACTCTGTAGAAAAAGGGATATAACACACATATGTTAGCATTTCCTGCGTGCTCTGCTAAGGTCTTTAACAGGGATTGCATTATTTTACTTAACTCTCACAATAATCCCCCAGAGTTGGAGATACTCATCCCAAGTTACAGGTTGGAAAATTGAGACCTTTGGTTGAACAGTTTGCCCAAGATCATGTCTTGGCAGTGAATCTTGTCTTTGAAGAGGTAGAGGCAGGATGCAAACCTGGGCAGTGCTTTCCCACATGCCCGTCACAAACTGACCCTGAAATTCCTCTCCTGCTTCTTGGGACAACAGTCTTTCCTGGCTCTTTCTCCTGTGTACACGGTTTCTTTTGCTGATTCTTCCTTGTATGCCTCAGTACCTCTCCACCCTTTTTAATATTTCCATACAGTTTCCTGGCTAACCGAATCTGTGGCTTCAGACTCCACAGTAATGCCTCCTCATCTCCACCTCTAACTCAGTACTCCCCAGGAGCACCAGGGGATACATATAATTGCCCACCTGATAGCTGCACTTGGATGTCCACAAGGACCTCAGTCAAGCCCTGCCCTGTTGGGCCACACCAGTCTTTTTCTTCATGAGTCCTCATCTTGGGGAATGGCACCACTATCCACCTACTGCCCATGTCAGCATCTTCTGCTAATCATCAGGTCATGGTCATTTTCCATCCCACTGCCTTAGGTTAGGCCCTTCTTTATATCTTACTTGGACTTTTACAGTAACCTCCAGCCTAGTCTCCCTGATGCTTCCTTGCCACGTAAGTCTTTACTGCCATCAGTTATTCACTGCCCAGTCGGTAGATTCTAGACCCCTTCCTTTCTCTTTGCAGCTCAACATCTCCCATCTCCCAGTCTGACCCCTATTGTCAAGGCACAGGGAACTAATTGTGGAAAAGAATGATCTGGCTTTTGTGCCTTTACAGCTGCAGTGCTCGTTCAGACGCCTTCCTGACCTGAGTTTGCACTGGCCCTTCCAGTCCTGCCAGTTCTATCACCACCCCTCTTACCAGATTATATTTACAACTGGTTTGCCCATCTGTCATCTTCACTAAACTTTAAGCTCCAGGAGGGTAGGGGACTGCCTGCCTTTTGCTGCAGGCATTCAGGTAATACTTTAGAAAATATGACACCATCCGTGAGAGGCAGAGCACAGGCTTTCGAGCTGAAATGCCTGGACCTGCAGCCTAGCTCCCCGCTTACCAGCTGTGTAGCTCTGGGGCAAGTTGCTTATCCTTTCTGAGTCTATTTCCTCATCTCTAAGATGGGGAGAATAGTGTACCTTCCTCAAAGGGTTGCCGTGCTGATTGAATTAATGAAAAAGAAAAACACTAGAACAGGGCCTGGCACAAAGTTAGGACTTCGGCAGTACTAACCACTTACCTAAAGGATTATTTAAGAATATTTAGGAATAGCTCAGAATTATTTAAGAATATTTGTTATTTAAGAATATAATAAAACAAATTAAAAAAAAAAAGAATAGGAGTGCGTGGCTGGTAGAGCCTGTGACTCTCAGGGACAGGAGTTCAAGGCCCATGTTGGGCATGGAGCCCTTTAAAAATAAATGTTTAAAAAGTAAGAATACCCCAGATTCCTAGCCACAGTAGTCATAGTGCACGGATATATCTGGGACTGAAAAATCACTCATAACTGTTTTTGGCCTCAGAGTTATGATACTGAAGTTGTTGCTCACTATGATAGGATTAGGTTTGGCCAGCTTCCCAAATAAGATTTTGGCTGTGATCTTGTTTCTGGTTCGTTATTTAAAAAGCTCATGAAAATCTGCAGCTGATGAGAATAATTTTAAAAGATGGCTATTAAAATGTTAGTGTTTAGGGCGCCTGCGTGGCTGTCATTAGGCATCTGCCTTCGGCTCAGGTCATGATCCCAGGGTCCTGGGATCGAGCCCTGCGTCGGGCTCCCTGCTCCATGGGAAGCCTGCTTCTCCCTCTCCCACTCCCCCTGCTTGTGTTCCCTCTCTCGCTGTGTCTCTGTCAAATAAATAAAATCTTTAAAAAAAAAAAAAAAAGTGTTTAGTATGAAGAATATCCATTAATACTTACCCTTTGTAACAGCTTGTCCTCCAGTAACTTCCAGTGTTGTATTAATAAAACAGAACCCATGCTTAAATCAAGGGGCAGCGAAGGGAAGGGTTCAGGAATATATCAGGGAAGGTTTGAAAGGACAGGAGCCATGGCAGCCACGGGGCACCCAGCAAGTGTTTGGTCTTTTCTTCTCAAAAAGCACCATCAAGGCAACGAAGCTCCAAGGGCGATGCCTCTGTTGCACGTTGTTGGGAGGGTTTGATGCCCCTATGGCCAAGGGTGGCAGGGTTTATCAGGATCTGAGACAAACCACCATCCCTCCCAAGAGCAGTCTTCAATGGGAAGTCAGTAAACCCACCACCACCATAGAAATAGAAGTGATACCTACAGTTTTCACTTAGCTACCCTAAAGTCTCCTGCCCACTGACCCTGGAAATTCAGTCTAAGGGAAGTATTCCACAGAAGGAAAACAGTTCCAAGTGCCAGGCAGGGTTAAGCACTTTACATATACTATCTCACCATCTTTTTTTTAAAAGATTTTTTTATTTATTCATCAGAGACACAGAGGTAACAGAGAGCATGAGCAGGAAGAGAGGCAGAGGGAGAGGGAGAAGCAGGCTCCTTGCTGAGCCAGGAGCCTGATGTGGGGCTGGATCCCAGGACCCTGGGATCACGAGCTGAGCCGAAGGCAGACGCTTAACCATCTGAGCCACCCAGGCGCCCCATATCTCACCATCTTTGAGGTAGACATTTTCCTATTTCATAGGTGAGAATACAGGATATAATCATTGGCAGAGGATTGTAACTCCAGACTGCTCAGAGTCCATACTCCTAGCAGTCTTAAGAATTAGCAAATACCCATCCAAGCACTGATTTAATAAACTATGGTATAATATGGATGGACCTCTTTTCAGTTTAAAAAAATTATGAAAACTGTACTAACTTGGAAAAATGTTGATAGGATTATAGGAATTAAGTTTTTAATTATAAATCCATCTTTTCGGAAAAAGACCACATGCTACAAAGCCCAAATTCTAAAAAAACATTGCAAAATCTAACGTTCTGTTGAAATGTGAAACCTTAGAATTGCCAAAGCAAAGGATCTGGGTGGGGGAAGGTTAGGTCAGAACTGGGGCCTCATATACCACAGCAGCATATTTTTCAAGATGTCCAGCCAAATACTTTTTTACCTGTAGAACACTTTACATTGCAAGGTGTCTGTGGGGGAGAAGGGGCTATAAAAGTCTACATATTTTGTGCCCTTTTTTTTTTAAGTGCAAGAGAGAATAAGCATGAGCAGGGGTGTGGGGGTGAGGAGAGAATCTTAAGCAGGCTCCACGCCCTGCATGGAGGCTGACGCAGGGCTCAATCTCATGACTGAGATCATGACCTGAGCCGTAATCAAGAGTTGGACACTTAACCGACTGAGCCACCCAGGCACCCCCATTCTAAAGTGCTGCTGCTGCTTTTTTTTTTTAAAGATTTTATTTATTTATTTGACAGAGACACAGCGAGAGGGGGAACACAAGCAGGGGGAGTGGGAGAGGGAGAAGCAGGCTTCCCACCGAGCAGGGAGCCCGATACGGGACTCGATCCCAGGACCCCGGGATCATGACCTGAGCCGAAGGCAGACGCTTAACGACTGAGCCACTCAGGTGCCCCCTCTAAAGTGCTTCTTTTAAAGAAACTCATTCAAGGGGCGCCTGGGTGGTTCATTCGGTTAGGTGTCTGGCTTCGGCTCAGGTTGTGATCTTGGGGTCCTGGGATCGAGCCCCACATTGGGCTCCAGTCAGCGGCGAAGTCTGCTTGTCCTTCAGCCCACCCACCCATTTGCTCTCAAAAATCTTTAAAGAAACTCATTCAAGTCTTGGAACACCTACAACTTGCTAGGAACTGCTTGCTCTCAGTAGTTAGGGGTGCATGAGTGAACAAAAACCTTGTTCTCAGTGCCTATGTTATGGTGGACTGGGAGGGGAAACAATATTTTACATGCAGTGGGAAGGTGGAAATGCGGGAGTGAGCCAAGATGGGGTCAGAAAAGGTTTTTCTGAAGACTAAAGATCTAACTGCACATTTATGTGCTCATGAACATGCACATCAGCATACTAAAGACTTACGCATTCATGGAACCTGTTTAGTCTAAGACTTTTTTTTTTTTAAACCACCAGTGGAACCCTTCTTTTTTCCCCTTTGCATAATTAGAAACACTCTTCAAGATTGTTTCCTAAGACACTTTGGAAACGATCTTGTTCCCTTCTCACAACCAAACCTGGCTCTTGATCAAAAACCCTCAGGGTGCCTTTTGTCACCCTGTAGAAGGTTCCTTGCAGCCGAGCTGGTTGGTGTGAGGTAGTAGAGACCGATGAAGCTGATGCTACTGTGATGTAGCTGATGCTACTTAGGGCAGCCCCAAAGTGAGTGGGTTAATAGTTAATTCCATTTTAATCAGTCTTAAAGGGTTCTATCAGTCCAGAAACTGTTCTGAGAATTAAGTTAAAATTGGGTTGAAACTGCAACAATTGTGTGCCAACCTGTCACACAGGCAAAATGGTAAAATCCCGTCTTCCCTAAGGGGTCCCACTAAAGTAAAAAGAAACGAATGAAACCCATAGATACACACAAAAGCAATGGAGTGCTAATTACACAAGAGGCACTAATCCTTGCTTTATTCACGTAGTAACATCGGACACTGGGAATTGTGTGGGCGTAGATAACAAAAAAGACGGCATCATAAACAGTTGAGTTCATCAGGGCAGTGGTGGCAGCTCAGCCAGTGTGTGGTCTCCCTGGGACCTACTTGGTCGAGGGACTACTCTGCTCCGTCCAGCACTTCATGGCCAACACTTGGCCTGTACTTTAAGAGTCACAGTGATTAAAAAAAACATGGTTAAGACATTGAGGGCTGAGCGACGGCTCCTGGGGCCACTTAGCCATCGAGACTGTGAGGAGCAGCGTTATGCCCTTACCGTCATGTGCTAGGCAGATCACAGCAAACACATGAAATGATCTTTCTCCCTGTGCTGAATGGAGAAACAGCCTTTCAGCCAGATCATCAGGCGGCAGAACTCGAGGCACCAAGAGCACCATCACCTCTTGGTTTCTCATGGTCACACTGAAGCTACTTTTAATATAGGAAACAGAAAAGCATTTGTAGTGGGTCTTTTCAAACGCAGAACTGAAGCTGGGGAAAAGAAAAGCTTTCTCTAGCATCATAGTTTGCTCGGTTCTGTGTGGTACGACATGCCGCACTGCTTCCTCACCAACAGACGCCCAACTAGGGTTTTTCTCAGTGTGCTGGTTACAAGACATACGTAAAGACTTTATTCCTAAGATTTTTTTTAGTGGCCAGTAGAAGAAAGAAAAATTGGGAGGGAGGGAGGGAGGGAGGGAACCCAGCACCTTGTGTTCCCCTCACGTGGTAACAGCTGGAGGACTTGGCAGTGAGGTAGTAGCAACAATCCTCACCTAAGTAAAGGAATTCAAATAATCTATGTAATCTTTCCCTGGACACTGAAAACAGGCTGTCCTCCCAGATCTCCTGTCCAACCACCCTCTCACGTGAAGCTTTATCTCGAGACAAGCTGAGAAGACAAACAGCTGCCCAGCTGAAGCAGCTGCCAATGGCTGGTTTCTCAGGATGAGGATATAGAGACCTCACCAGAGGCCAGGCACCAACTGTTTTTGCTGAATTCATTAAGCATAATTTTTATAGAAAACTGAAGGACAAAGCAAATTGAAAGGATCACTGTTATAATAACTTTAATTTATCTTGCATTTTACATAAGTCTATGAACGATTTTAAAAAAGCACCGCCTTACCCCATCCCATTTTTCTGACAGTTGTTAAAGTAGGCAATGAGTATGTCAACAGCTTGAGCATTGGCATCTTGCAAGGATTTCAGAGCAACCAGCCACACGCCAAAGAACCTGGCAGCTTTTCTATCTTGTTTTTTAATACAGTGGTAGGTCCACTCTGATGGTAAACCTGTCCAGCCAAATCTCCACAACACACTTTGCAAAATCGGTGGTGGCCAGCCAATTAGTTAGCTTTGGCACGGAGCTGTGCTCGCTTGCCTGTGACAGCCTGGAAGCCGGTTTTGATGCTGGCAACAGAGCATCGAGAATGACAAGTTTCGCACTGTAAGAAATAGAGTCGGGTGTCCTTTTGCAGGATTGTGTCCGGTGATCGGCACGTGTGACAGGTAACGTATTCCTCTGCAGGAAAAGCAACATACAGAATTACCTGGCGGCTGCAGTGAGCCAGAGGTTTCTTCCCTCTGAAACATCTTCTACCATGAACTCCACAAGCCCAGGCTGGCACCGAGACCAGGGAAAGCTTTAGCTTAACTTAGATATTCTAGGGATAAAAAGACACAAGCTGTTTGCTGTGATGCTTCAGGTACTAAACCAAGGTTTGAAAAAAGACTCCAAGGAGGCAGGGATGCTTGCCAGATGCCATT